GCTGATGAGTGGAGCTGCAGAGACAGGATTCTTTTACTCCCCACAGTAGGTGGAACAATGGATCGTAGCAGAGTATTTCAGAGTGCAAAGCCAACACCATGTTCTCTGGTCTCATTCAAAGGTTTTTCCTGCCAGAAGAATGAGAAGTTTTTTCTTTGGCAGATCCCATGCCTGGCAATCCAATCTCTTGCAGGGCAACAATGTCCATCTGCAGCCTACTCAGTTCCATGTCGATGACAGCTGTCTTGTGCATGTCGTCTGTTTCCTGCAGGTCACCAGAAAAGCCAGGGGTCATTGTCCAAACATTCCAGGTGCCCAAATTTAGAGCAGAAGTTTTCTTATTGTTGCATGGTGCAGGGTTATCGATCTGCTTGTTGACTTTCACCCTAAACCCCATGTACCTCATGAGGTTAACAGACCATGGTGAGGTATGGAGGATAGGCTGTTACTGAAGCAGCAACTCCCCCCTCTCCATATCACTGAAATAGTCCAATGGAAAGGCAAGAGCCAATACAACTGGTTCCAGCGACTTCACAGGAGTTGACAGAATGACACGAACTGCCTCCAGGACTCTGGCTCTGGATTTTTCCTCGAGGTTAACTCCTGAAGCCTTTTCCATCAGTGGATATAGTCACAAGGCAGTGGGGGTTTGAAATCGGAGTTTTCCTTCTCCTAAATGGACTGCCTTCCCAGGCTGATGAGCCCCACCTGCCTGGCCTGCTCCCTAAAAGTGTGGAGATTAGAAACAGAGGCCTCCAGCTGCCAGACCTTGTCTTCCAAGAGGACCATCAACTAACACTTAGAGCATTTCTACCCCAGCACGTCATTGGCAAGAAAACAAATATGCCACAGGTGTTACAAGTGCAACAGATCCTGCACTCTCGATCTTGACTGATTGGTCAGTGAGTTAAAAAAGGGAGGGAGTTTGATCCTACCCCTGAAACATCCCTGACCCCCAGGTGTATGCAATGCTATTTGGCTTACCAGATCAGAGTCAAAAACAGAATTGGAGAATTTCGTAAGTCAGCCCACATTTAAAGCCAAAACCCTGCCCCCCTCAGACCATGCAGTCAGGGAGAACAAAGGTCAGCCTAGAAGAAAACACCTCACCAAATAAAATGTCCTCCCAATCACAGGGGGCAGAATATACATGTTATAAACAGACAGACAAACAAACTGTAAATTATCCAAATATTTAAAAAGAATTAAATAAATGTTACAACAGTATAAAAATGTTAGGTAAAAGCATTACTAAAACAGATTTAAAAACAACAAAAGTACAAACCATCCTGTTTTTAAAGACTCCCTCTTAGACAGCTGCTAAGTAGCATAACCGCTGGATAAGGATTCCTTTTTGGGGGGCACGGGGACACACCCTTCTTCCTGTGAGATGGCTCTCCAAAAGGGGACCCTTCTTTCCTTTCTCCCCTCTCCCCCATCACCCCCCCCCTTGTTAGAGGAGATTCTTTCTGGGCCACTTAAGGAGAATAAGGGCAGAAGAAGGAAAGGTGTCTTCCTGGGTCATGACTCGATTTGTTTGAAATGTGATGCTGAATACTCTGGACTGCCAGAAAGACAAAAGTCACTTCTTAGACCAAATCAAGCCTGAACACTCCCTAGAAGCAAACAGAACTCAATTTAGGTCCCTGATGAGAAGACGGGGCCATCTAGAAAAGACGGGAAACAGCTGAAGGCAGGAGGAAAAGTGGGAAAGCAGATATGAGAGCAGTTGACTCTGTTATGGGAGCGGAGGCCTCTAGCTGGTAAGACCTGAGCTGTTAACGGGAGAAGGTTTGGGAGGTTGTTAATTCCTTGAGCCACCGCATGTGGGAATCAGCTTGGCAGCAAAAAACCCCAAACCCAACCCCACAACAATTTGGCCTAAATCCACTGAAGCTTCTTTTTGGACAAAAATGGCAGCGAATAAAGGCAAGACTGCCTTTCAAAGCAGGAAGGCTCTTCCCATCCAGAAGAGGAGAAACGGGGGCTGATGGGCCCGCCTCTGTCCCAAGGCACCAAAGAGGCCTCTCCCCAAAGTCCCTTGGTCTAAGAGGGCATCCCCCCACACACACACACACTCCAGAGAGAGCAAATGTCCTGCACCGCCAGGCCCTGACTCGCTTCTGGCTCGGCCACCTACCGGCAAGTACTGGCCAACGGTGGCATGAGAAAGGGCATGGATGTTGGAGGTTCTTTCCTTCACCTGAATCGCCAGCTTCTCCACCTCTGCCAGGTTATCTGTGGGCCAGGGACATAGGGGAGAATTGAGAAAAGAGGAAGGGGGTCTTCGCTTCCCCCTGCTGTTTGCATCTCGCCTGTGGGTCGGGGTGGGTGGGCTCAAGGGAGAGCTGCTGCCACGAGGGCCCTTGGCCACCTCGTAGAGCTTCTGCCTTGCCTGGCAGGGGGGGGGGGCCCTGCCGCCCCGAAACCCGGCTG